ATTTGTTTCAAGAGCTAATTTTTCTTTCTTTTTTAAAATTCTGTACATACCATGAAATGCCACAAAATGAAAATTAGTGTTATTCGTTTACCTCAGCCCTCAGGGAATCAAGAAGAGGCTGAATGTTATTAGATATAACATCTGGATCAAAGGGAACAGTAGAAGCACGCTGAAGTACGCATCACAAAATAGACAGCAAAAATTCCTATTGAGTAACTTCCAACAATTACCAAACCGACCACATGGTGACAGGTCTTATAGACGCTGAAAAGCAATACCACAATTCTCTATCTTGGAATTTGACCTACATGGCAGGGCTGAAAATTCAGTTGAAAAATTTGGCCCATGGGTAAAAAATGTTGATCCAGATCTATGCTCCACATAAATGTATTTTTTTTGTCAGTTATATTCACCAGTGATCTCAAACACATGGGACAGAAGGAAAAATCAGCAGCAACCAGTTACAACTAAGTGTGAAGTTATGTATCTATAATTGTATCGCATTTTGTCTTATCACTGGCCAGTCAATCTCAATTGAAGCCATAGGAAAACAGTCCTAAGTTGTATGTCCTGAGACGAAATTCTCAGTCCTTGTCTAGTGAATCAAAGCTGTCTTATGAGACAAACTGCTTATTATTTACAGTATTTTTGTTTCAGATAAAGAATTCGCATGTACAGATAGTAGTCAACTGAAGCATAATTCAAAAAAGCCTTTTACACTTATCCTATTTCTTCAGGACACTTGAATTATTGAATGGAGTTAGCATGAAGCATGATCAAAGTGTGAGAATGGAGACAAACTGATTGAATTCTGGTTTTGAAAATCCTTTAATGCGTAACAATGAAAATAATAAAACTGCTAATGCCATAAACTTTTCTGAGTTGTACAAAGAGCACGGTACACGCCAATGTATAATACCGCATAGAATTGTACATACAATTAAGTTTCCTGTTGGTTAAGTAAGTTTTACTCTTCTGCTAGGTGAAGATTTACCAGTGAGCTCTATGACCAATGCATGACTCTTAGAAATTTGGAAAGGAAAGAAGGAAAAGTGAACACTCGATTGATAAAGTCAAAAGCAAATTCCTTTAAGGCTACTCATTACTAGGGCACTATGTTGGTGAATTGGGGTGATGATTTGTATTCATCAATAAAAATGAGTCAAATACAATAAAATGTTACAAAATGTATGCATTGGCACCTTCAGTTATTTGAATGTGCTAGTGTTGTCTGAAAGAAAAAACAAATGCTTCCCTAACATCTTTGGCATCTTGTCAAATGTAAATAAATGGCTTTTTCAGTGTTTTCAAGCTGATTTTACACATTAAAACACCAGTCAAGAGAGAAGGCCAGTAATTAAGTAAAAGGGTTTTGATGTAGCAAATGGGACAAAAAAGGAGCCTAATGTCGTCAATGTCTAGATTTTGCATCTGTGTTTATTAGGAGTCTTGAATGAAGCATTCGGAGGATCACAGCAATGGTGGGCATCCTGCCATGGGACAGGCCATTATTTGTGGGGTAACAGCTGGATACATGACAAAGCCAGATGACTCCCACTTTACCACAAAATTTGCCAGTTTCTGACTGAGCAGTCCCCAGGAGCTTTGGACATATTTATAACTAATTATTTAGAAATAAATAGGCTGAAGGCTTAGAATCAAATATTACAACATATAATTCTTATTTATTTTGGTAGTGCTGAGCTATGAACTTGGGCATGTCTCTCCCCTGCAACACACCCCTGTTCTTTTTAACTTTAGTTTTTGCTTTACTTTTTTGGTGTGTGTGTGTGTGTGTGTGTGTGTAACACTTGAGCCACAGACCCACTTCTGGCTTTTAGAGGTTTTAGAGATTAATTGGAGATAGCCTTAAGTCTTTCCCACCTGCCTGGCTTTGAATGGCAAAAGCTCCAATCTCAGACTCCTGAATCACTAAGAATACAGTTGTGAGCCTCTGGTGGTTGACTTAATTTTAGTTTACATTTCAGTAATGCTCACATGCTTCTCCCTGGGCTGTCTTACTCTACTCCCAAAGAACTTGGGTCTACCACACCACATCTTAAGAGAGATAATGCTTGTCACTATTACATACTTTTCTTCTCCTTTAAACAATTATTTGCATAATCTCATGATTAAATGTCAGTTCTTCAGATTGGAACTTTATTTTTGTTCTTATGAACTGATCGTTCAAACACCAGACTTTCTCTCTATACAGATCTAGTCTTTTTAGCTGTGATCTTATCATCATCTTCTGATTAGTTATCCCAAAGGTCCCACCAGTCTAGAGGAAATGAGGGTGTTGATTTTTTTTTTCAGTCACCTTTGCTGTGACCTTGCCTACTAACAGAGGCTTATATAGAATTTTGTATATTTCCCTCAATCCATCTACAATACAAAGTCTTTCTGCAGAAGAGGAAATTTGGCATGTGAAATTTGTAGCTTGGTATTTCAAATGGCTATTTACATTTATGGTGAGAAAAAATAGTTTAAAAAAGTATCAATTTTTCAACCCATAGATGCTGCAAAGCTACTTAAATATACAGTGCCTAACCTAAATATTCAATGTCTGACTAATACTGGTATTATAAAACAAAAGTTTTGTTAGATTGTTAATTGCTACCTTCTCTGTATACTTACTTTTTTTTAAAATTTAGAAGTGAATGGAATTTTCTATATATTTTTAAAACTAGCTTTATATGTACAGTTAAATGGGTTTCTGATTATTTCATTCTGCTTTCCCTAAAGGCATAGGTTTCTCTGGCTTTAATCAGAATAGTGAACCATGTTTGTTTGATGTAATTAAGAAAGCACAGAGGTCATTATTGTCTCAAACTAGAATTCCTATTTTTTTTGGATGGATCTATACTTGTCATTCTTATCCAGTCACAAAGGTCAGAAGTTAAATGTTAAAAGCCTTTGGTAATATGTAAATAGATTATTTTTTTATGGGGCATTTTGTGAAATGAGTAGCATCACTTAAAAAAAAACATTTACAACAACCAATTGCATTATTCACTTATAATTAATGCCCATGCAAAAATGTATTTGGGGGGATAGGAAGGAACAACATTTTGCAAAGAAAATGGAATTTAATTCGATTAAATCTGCAGAATGGTTTGCATGAAGGAATTTCAAGGAATTCTAATATCAGTATTCAATGTGTTTATTCACCTATGCTTCAATGAATATATTTCAGTGTGTATTTATTTTTCTTGTCTATGTAAGTGAAAAACCACCAGAGTTAATCACATCTTCAAGTTAAATTGCTCAACCTAAATCTGGAAATCTTGTGGCAAAACAGAAGTCATTATTAGGTTTGAACTTGAGTAGTGGAACATTGTCATCTAGTCCTTAAGCCATCATAGGGACTTGATTGTGGCGGGAAGTCATTTTTCCATTCCTGCTGTGCTTTCCAGAATGCTTCTTTCAAGACTCAGCATGACATGAAATGTAAAATCTAAACACTAAGATTTTACTCTTGTTGTCCAGCATGCAGCATCAAAGATATTTTATTTAGATGTTGAACTTTTTGCTTGTTTTTTTAGGCCCATGAATAATGTAAAAATAAAGTATGTTTGATAAAAAAATAAAGGTCAAGTATGTTTTGCATTTTAAAAAGTGTTTTAGGGGCTGGGAAGGTGGCTCAGTGGTAGAGTGCTTGCCTTGCATGCATGAGGCCCTGGGTTCGATTTCTTAAGCACCACATAAGCAGAAAAAGACAGAAGTGGCGCTGTGGCTAGGCTTGAGATGAAGAGCTGAGGGACAGTGTGCAGGCCCAGAGTTCAAGCCCCATGACCCACAAACAAACAAAAGGAAAAGTGTTTTAAAAAAGAGGATTTTGAAGGGAAAAATGAAAATATGATACTAATAATAATTGAAAAAGTTGAATCTCCTGTTTTCATATAATCCAAGCTTCTAGCTCCTGTATTGCAGTAGGTAAGGTACTGTGTCTGGATCAACTAGATACCACTTTCAAATACAGGTTTTCATGATTTCCCGTCACATCGGTCTTTTTTGTTCAGTGCTCTGGGAACCTTTCTTCATACAGCACAAAACCTTTTGATTTTTTTATCTAATTTTTTAAATTTAAATTTAATTGTCATGGTGATAAATGGGGGGGTTACAGCTACATAAGTAAGAAAATGATGAGTACATTTCTTTTTGACCAGTGTTACCCCCTCCCTCATTTTCTCCCATTTTTTCCCCTTCCTAATCCCTTCCCTCACCAGGTTGAAAGTTCATTTCCAATGTTGTGTCTAGTGAGTATCAGTGTTGAATTGGTTCATTCTTTGTCCCATCATTTCTGGATTCCCCTTCCCTTCCCTCAATCAGAAAAACTTGTATCCAAGGCAAAGGGTACAGAAATAATAAACAATGACAACAGAGAATAAAGGGAAAAAAGAAATAGAAAAAGAAATATTTTATTGTACTGCAAACAGTACAATAAAAACCACCTTTTGTTAAAGTGAACTTTTCCTTTGTTTTATATTATTAAATTTTACTTGAATGTAGAACACATTTTTCATTAGTTAGTAATAGTCACATCATTCTCTCATAGTAATTTATATATCTACTGGATAAGGAGAGACTGAAAAAACATCCAATTTGTATGTGGAGTAAATTGTATTTATTTATATGATGGCCATTATAAAATTTTGGTTTAGGTTTTAAGTCTGAACACTGGTTCAGAATATGATTAGAACAAAAATATCAGTCAATACTTCCTTATGTTTTGTTTTGCTGAACTTTGACTCTGGATTTTCAAATGCTGGCAACAACTTTTCCATTATAAACTCCAAATGAAAGAGCAATTGCTCAAGGTCATACAACTAGTGAGTGGAAAGGGTGTGGGAAATGATCATTAAGGATAGTTTAATGATAATGTTTTAGGTAAATTACCTCTTTTTATTCTGCTGAAAATATCAAAGGGGAAAAAGAAAAGGTGAGAATAGGAGAGGAGAAATAATTTTGACATTTACAACTTTCTTTTCATGAACCAGTATGCCGGGAGGATTCCTACCACTCTGTTATGTCCTGTGCCGCGGTGGTTCTCACCCCAATGGAGCCCATGATCGAAGTGAAGAAAAGAGAAGAACTAAAATTTCCTGAGCCTTCCAAACAGTAAGTTGCTCTAGAATGTTGCAGGCCTAGACATCCATGAGGTAACTGATCAATGGTACTGCTCAGAAACTGATTCATTATGAATGTTGTAGTGTTGAAGGAAATGGATAAAATAGAAATGAATGGTGTATAATAATGTATGGAAGCAACCTATTCTGTAGTCTGACTAAGTCACTGGATTCCCATAACTTTGCGTATGTGAACCACATTGTATGTCAGTTTCATTTTGTGACCTCACCTTAGGGATCTGGAGAAGTCACTACCTTCACCCTAGTTTGGGAGACCACATTTCTGGGTTTCTGATTTCACTGTTGTACACTTCAGTGGTCTAAAAAGCATTAGTTTATTTTAGCATAAACTTCTTAGCCTATGCTTGTTTTGCATTTAATAAAGGATGTAAGTTACTTTCCCAATTATTATTGTTATTAGTATTAGTATTAATTAGTGCTGTCCTGGGACTTGAACTCAGGGCCTGGTCAGTCCCTGAGCTTTTATGCTCAAGACTAGCACTTTATTACTTGAGCCACTTCCACTTTGGCATTTTGGTATTGAATTGGAGATGAAAGGTTCAGAGACTTGTCTTCCTGGGCTGGGTTCAAACTGCAGTCTTTCTGGGTAGTTAAGATGGTAATACTTCACATTATTTAAATATATGATACCTTAAGTGGACTTGCTTGGAAATAACCACAAGAGGAATTTGTGATTGATGGCAATATATTTCTCTTTTTAGTTCTTGTTTCTCTTTTATTGGCGCAATAATAATTGTAGAAAAATGTTTCGTTGGGGGTATTTCTATACATGCATATAATGTATCTTGATCGAGTTTACATCTTCTATTCATCTTCCTAATGACCCAAATTGCATTTCTTGATCTGGTGCTACTTGCTGGGAGTGTGTCCATTTTGTGAAAATATACCAAGCTGCAAACTTGGAAGATATCCCTCTGTTACTTTGCAAATATACCTATGCTCAGTAAAATATGTTAAATCACAAAGATATATATTATATTTATTTTGGTCACTTAAATTGTAGAATCACATACATTCAAACTTGACCTTAAACAAATCGTAGATTCTTTTTCCCATAATGACTGAGAAGAATTAAATTTGTGGTGCCAAATATCATATACATGGACACAAAACAAACTGGAATTAAATGGATAGAAATGCAACAGCTGCTACTAATTTTCCAGAGACAATAGAGAGTAAGTTGCATGTTCTTTGTGATGTTCCTTGTTATTTGACCACTACCTTAACTACCTGGACACATCTGGTATTTTTTTTTTAATTACACTGTGTTCTAAATTGTTTGCTCTTGGCATATTGTCCTACTGGATAATCAGCTCATAAAGGCAGTGTTTCCCAGAACATGCTCATGTTTGATACTCTTTCTGAAATCAATTAGAAAATCCATTAGTGTTATGTCTGTTCAATAATATTGAATCAAATGGAGCAATGTATATATTTGATTGCATGAAGATATTCAGTGTTAATATTCTCATTATAGAGGAAAGAAATTCTAACTACTTCATGAAGTAATGATTGTAATTCAGTTTTAATACGATCTAAAAAGTGAAAACAATTGAACTGCTTTTAATATAGTCTAAATTTTAGGTTCCAATAGCCTCTTTTGCCTAATAGGAAGAAAATTACGTCTCATATTTGCCATTAGAGTGTGCAAATGTATTTTCCTGCAATATGCTTGTGAGTTTAAATAAGTTACCTGTGTGTTCGTACTGTGGACCTGAAATTATTTTAGATTATCCTGCAGTCACTAATCAAAACTGGTGGCTACTTACAGGTCTTTTCTTCCAATTTTTAGATGCATTTATAAACATTCTTTCTACCCGGGATGTCCATATAGCGAACAGAACTTACCATCTCTTCCTTCTGTTACCCTAGTTTAGTCTGAGACTTTTCTATATTTAGATTTTACTCTCTCATTTAAATATTCTCCCTTGACAGTACCATTAATTCATAGATATTTCATTAGTCCTTGCTTTGGGGAGTCAGAGGGACTTTGATAAAGTTCCCAGTGCTGCAGTTGATTACCTGGATATTGTGGATGTTTTTCCAAGTTCTTTGTGCTTTATGTTTCCGGTACATTAATTGGAGTGATGCCACCAGGTTTACTGTCAGGGTTTTGTGAAGGGTGCTGTTGATGACCTGAAATTGAATAAATCACAAAGGGTCAGTGCTGTTGTTCCTGCTGAGGGAGTCTTCAACTATCAACATTCCTTTCCTGAAGGCCATCTGAATGAATGCAAGCCCAACCATTAACATAGTTGGCCAGACTTACCTAACTAATCTTCTCACTACAATCACTTAAATGTGTCTAAAAACAAACTTAAAGTCAGCCCAGTTTCTCTTAAAATCTTGACCCTTAGATTTAAAAGCTGAACTCCCTCTGCAAGGGTAGGGAATGTCTGACTGTGAGGGCCATATCAAGCCTGAGAAATCCTCTCATCTGGACGCGCCAAGGCCACCACAGGCCGGCCCTCCAGGGAGATTACTAATACACGAGGAGCCTTGGCAGAAGAAGGCTCGTCCACTTCTGAAGCTACCACACTTAAGAAAATGATGTTTTTCTTCCCCACATCTCACGTTCAATCCATCGTATGCAAATGAGCACCTCATAAAATGTACATAAACGGCAAACTCTAGAGGGAATGGAAGACTTTCCATATGTGGTTTTTCCATGTTCTTTTGTGTTTTATTGAACAAAACAAAAAGGTTGTTGAAATCTGTATTGTGACTGTCCGTATTGTGACTCTGTGTCTGACTTGAAAGGTTTTTTTGGGGGTCTGGTCATGGGGCCTGAACTCTGGGCCTGGGCACTGTCCCTCAGCTCTTCAGCTCAAGGCTAGCACTATCATTTGAGCCACAGCGCCACTTCCGGCTTTTTTCCTTTTTGCTTATGTGGTGCTGGGGAATCGAACCCAGGGCCTCTGGCATGCAAGGCAAGCGCTCTACCACTGAGCCACCTTCCCAGCCCGACTTGGAAGGTTTTTAAAGGCCATGGCAAAGTTCAAAACAGAAAGGTGCAAAAAAGAAATAAAATTATTACATTGCTTTTTGTCTATAGTTTTCCATTTTTCTTTTATATTTACACTCAATTTCATGTACGGAAATTCAGGAATGCTGTGCGATTTGATTTGTGGAGATGAGGCATTACCTAACCATGCTGGCATTCATTGCCCGTGCTACAACACCTCCTTGGGGTGGTTCACGTTGACATGATGGAGGAGCACAGAACTTCTTCTGAAGGTCGTTGTGTCTAGTATTTACTACGAAAATCTTATTGTTAACAAATCACTAGCAGCAACCTAATTTATTCTTTTTTTTTTTTTCATTTTGTTGGTTGTGGGGCCTGAACTCAGCCTGGGCGCTGTCCCTCAGCTCTTTAGTCAAGGCTAGTGCTCTATCACTTGAGCCATAGCACCACTTCTGGCGTTTTCTGCTTATGTGGTCCTGAGAAATCAAATATATGCAAGGCGAGCACTCTACCACTGAGCCACCTTCCCAGCCCCCCTAATTTATTCATAAAAGGAACTTAAATCACCCTGGTTAAAGTTCTATCCTCCTTTTATGGTTTATCTGAATAAATAATGTATACACTAAATCTAGAAAAGTTTAGTACTTTCTCAAATGCTGCTTCATAAACTTAGTAGTTGCATTGGGGACATACCAAAGAATATATTATTCGTGGTTTTCCAACTTCCTTTTACTAATTTCAGGGAGACGTGCCTATTTATATTTTCAGGAAGATAGCCATCAGCTAATTTCAATCCACAAAAAATAGGTAATTGTAAAGTACTTGTCTGACCTTAGCACTTATGCTTAGAAATGAGAATTTTGTGGTGATCTACAAGTGCTGTGAAACTCAAGTGTTGAATGAGAGAGATGGACAAGAATCAATTAATTTCAACAAGATATACAAAAACTGTAGCTCTGAAAACTGGCAGTAGTGTTTCGGTATGTCTGGCTGTGGGGTTGTATGGGAAGGAGTCTGAAGATAGCCCTGAAGGTCAGGAAATTGTCCCAGTGGTTCATTCGGTTTCCAGCTGCAACCCCTTCCTCATCACCAAAATTCAAATGAGACAAAGATTCATTTCTACCAGGAGTCTATTCTTCCACAATCCCCGTGCCCAGAATTTCCTGCTAAGGGACCGGGCATTCCCACCTCTTCCTTGTATAGCTGTGGCCTATGGACTAAAGAGGAACAGATAAGTACTCTGGTGCTGGACAGAATCCCAAAAGGCAGCTGAAGAATTCACCTTTATGACTTTGAGGCCCTGAGTGTGCAGAAAGAACTATGAAGCAGGAAGGCAAAGTAAGTTGCTTAGATTTGGAGTCAGCAGAGCTCTCTCCAATGATGTCACTTGTGAGGGATTAGTTAGTATCTTTCCACATTTGCCACCATCTCTATCTCCTTATGGAAGATAAGATGTCATCATTGGCTGGTTTCTAAGAGTTAAAAAATTAAAAACTTGGCTTTTTTTCAGGTATTATGTATGGCTTAAAGAAAACCAGCAGATTTTTGAGGCAAACAGGAAAAAATCATAGAAAAACTGTTGTCCTTGATTGATAGCATAGTTATTCCGTCTTTCTTCTGTTTATTGCTCCTCAGAGAATCAAAATATTTGGCCTTTGAGGAGTCAATCTGTCAAGTCAGGAAATCCTATTGTAACATTTGCATCTGGTTTGACAATCCTTCTTTGTGCATAGAACACACAAGTGCTGCTTTTCTGACAAGTTGGGACAACCTGATAAGAGACTAAAGTACTCCTGATAGTGTGATACAAATGTAAATGTATCAGATCACTGCAAAAGATGGCAGGTGCACTGCCAGGGCTGTAAAAGCAGCTTGGATGTGTCAACGAAGGCCTGTGGACAATTATGCACACACACACACACACACACACACACATACACACACACACACACACACATCATATCAAGCTATGGAGAGATTCTATTGTTATCTAATTGAAATACTTC